AGAAGACATTTGCAAATGACACTACAGATAAAGGGCTGGTATCCAAGATCTATAAAGAACTTCTCAAACTCAACACCCAAAAAACAAATAATCAAGTCAAAAAGTGGGCAGAAGATATGAAAAGACGCTTCTCTGAAGAAGACATACAAATGGCTAACAGACACATGAAAAAATGTTCATCATCATTAGCCATCAGGGAAATTCAAGTCAAAACCACACTGAGATACCACCTTACACCAGTTAGAATGGCAAAAATGGACAGGGAAAGAAACAACAAATGTTGGAGAGGTTGCGGAGAAAGGGGAACCCTCTTACACTGTTGGTGGGAATTGCAAGTTGGTCCAGCCACTTTGGAAAACAGTGTGGATGTTCCTCAAAAATTAAAAATAGAGCTACCCTCTGACCCAGCAATTACACTACTGGGTATTAGCCCCAAAGACACAGAGGTAGTGAAAAGAAGGGCCATATGCACCCCAATGTTCATAGCAGCAGTGTCCCAATAGCCAAACTGTGGAAAGAGCCGAGATGCCCTTCAAGAGATGAATGGATAAAGAAGATGTGGTCCATATACACAATGGAATATTACTCAGCCATCCGAAAGGATGAATACCCAACTTTTACATCCACATGGGTGGGACTGGAGGAGATGATGCTAAGTGAAATAAGTCAAGCAGAGAAAGCCAATGATCATATGGTTTCACTTATTTGTGGAACATAAGGAATAACAGGGAGGACATTAGGAGAAGGAAGGGAAAAATGAAGGGGGGGAAATTGGAGGGGGAGATGAACCATGAGAGACTATGGACTCTGAGAAACAAAAAGGGTTCTAGAGGGGAGGGGAGAGGGGGGATGGGTTAGCCCGGTGATGGGTATTACGGAGGGCATGTACTGCATGGAGCACTGGGTGTTATACGAAAACAATGGATCGTGGATCACCACATCAAAAACTAATGATGTATTGTATGGTGACTAACATAACATAATAAAATTTAAAAAAAAAAAGAAAAGAAACTAGATGACTTTCTTACACCATACACAAAAATAAATTCAAAGTGGATTAAGACCTAAATGTGAGACCTGAAATCATAAAAATCCTAGAAGAGAACACAGGCAAGTATCTTACCCCATTCCATGGATTGCCTTAGTTTTGTTGACTGATTCCTTTGCTGTGCAAAAGCTTTTTATCTTGATGAAGTCCCAAAAGTTCATTTTTGTTTTTGTTTCCCTTGAATTTAGAGACATGTCTGGAAAGAAGTTGCTGTGGCCGATGTCGAAGAGGTTACTGCCTATGTTCTCCTCTAGAAATTTGATGGATTCCTGTCTCACATTGAGGTCTTTCATCCATTTAGAGTTTATTTTTTTGTATGGTATAAGAGAAAGGTCAGTTTAATTCTTCTGCATGTGGCTGTCCAGTTTTCCCAGCACGATTTATTGAAGAGACTGTCTTTTTTCCATTGGATATTTTTTCCTGCGTTGTCAAAGACTAGTTGACTATAGAGTTAAAGGTCCATTTCTGGGATATCTATTCTGTTCCATTGATCTATGTGTCTGTTTTTGTGCCAATATATACTCTCTTGTTGACTACAGCTTTGTAATATACCTTGAAGTCAGGCATTGTGATGCCCCCAGCTTTGGTTTTCTTTTCCAACATTCCCCTAGCAATTCGGGGTCTTTTCTGTTTCCATACGAATTTTAGGATTGTTTGTTTCTGCTCTGTGAAAATGTCAATGGTATTTTGATAAAGATTGCATTTAAAGGTAAATTGCTCTGGGGAGCATAGACATTTTTACATTTCAGATAAAGGGCTGGTATCCAAATCTATAAAGACCTTACCAAACTCAACACCCAGAAACAAATAATCCAGTCAATATATCTGCAGAAGACATGAACAGACACTTCCCCAGAGAAGACATACAAATGGTTAATAGACACATGAAAAAATGTTCCAGATTTCAAAGTATACTAGCCATCAAGGAAATACAAATCAAAACCACAATGAGATACCACCTTACACCAGTTAGAATGGCAAAAATGAATAAGACAGGAAACAACAAGTGTTGGCAAGGATGTGGAGAAAGAACACTCTTACACTGTTGGTGGGAATGTAAGCTGGCACAGCCAGTCTGGAAAACAGTATGGAGGTTCCTTAAAAAGTTAAAAATGGAGCTACCTTACAACCCAGCAATTGCACTACTAGGTATTTATCCCAACGATACAGATATAGTGAAAAGAAGGGGCACGTGGACCCCAATGTTCATAGCAGCAGTGTCCACAATAGCCAAACTATGAAGGGAGCTGAGACGCCTTTCAACAAATGAGTGGATAAAGATGTGATACATATATACAATGGAATATCACTCAGCCATCAGAAAGGCCATCAGAATACCCACCATTTGGATAGACATGGATGGAACTGGAGGGGATTATGCTAAGTGAAATAAGTCAAGCCGAGAAAGACAATTATCCTATGGTTTCACTTACACGTGGAACGTAAGGAATAGCGTGGAGGACCACAGAGGAAGGGAGGGAAAATTGAACAGGAAGAAATCAGAGAGGGAAACAAACCATGAGAGACTCTGGACTCCTGGAAACAAACTGAGGGTGAGGGTTACAGAGGGAGGAGGGTGCGGGGATGGGGTAACCAGATGATGGGTATTTAGGAGGTCACGTGTTGAGATGAGCACTGGATGTTATACGCAACGAAGGAATTGTTGAACACTACATCAAAAACTAATGATGTACTATATACTGGCTAACTGAACATAATAAAAATAATAAATAAAAATAAAAAAATAAAGATTATGCTGTGGGAAAAAAAAGAGAGAGAGAGCACAGGCAGTAGTCTCTGACATCAGCCACAGCAACATTTTTCCAGATATGTCTCCAGAGACAAGGGAAACAAAAACAAAAATAAACTGTTGGGAGTACATTAAATAAAACGCTTCTGTACAGCAAAGGAAACAATCAACAAAACTAAAGGACGATCACTGAATGTGAGTAGATATTTCCTAATAACATATCTGATAAATGGTTAGTATCCAAAATATATAAACAACTTGGGCAACTCAACACCAAAAGAGCAAATAATCCAACTAAAAATGGGTAGAAGACATGAGTAGATATTTCTCTAAAGAAGACATTCAGATGGCTGACAGACACAGGAAAAAATGCTCAACATCTCTCATCATCAGGGAAATGCAAATCAAAGCCACAATGTGATATCACCTCACACCTGTCCTATTGGCTAAATTCAAAAAACACATGAAAAACAAGTGTTGTACAGAAAGTGGAGTAAAGGGAACTCTTGTACACTTGGTGGGAGTGCAAACTGGTGCAGCCATGGTGGAAAACAATATGGAGATTCCTCAAAAAATTAAAAACAGAAATACCACGTGATCCAGTAGTTGTACTACAGGATATTTACCCAAAGAATGTGAAAACAGTGAAAAAAAAAAAGAAACATTCACCCCAGTGTTTACCGCAGCATTATTTACAATAGTTCATGTATGGAAGCAGCCCAAGTGTTCATACATAGAGGAATACAGAAAAAAAACATGGTACATTCAATGGGATATTAGCCATAAAAACGACAGAACTCTTGCCATTTACCACAACATGGTATGGAGCTAGAGAGTATGGTGGTAAGTGAAATAGTCAGAGAAAGACAAATACCATATGATTTCTTCATATGTGGAATTTAAGAAACTAACAAAAGTAACAGAAAAAAGTGACAAAGGAAAAAAAAAAACAGACACTTGTCTATAGAGAACACACTGCTGGTTCCCAGAGGGAAGGTGGGAGGGGGGATGGGAGGAAACGGGTGAAGGGGCTTGGGATTACACTCATATGGATGGGCACTGAGTGGTGTATAGAATCGCTGAATCCCTATACTTTACACCTGAAAGTAATATAACACTGTATGTTAACTATCCTGAGTCTTAAAATAAATTTGGAACACCGAAATATATAGTTTTTGGTTTATGTGTTTTTCTTTTCTAAAAGCTCCTTGAATGAAGTGATTGCACTGTGAATACTGTATTTTCATGAGTGTAGCACGGTGCCTGGATCCAGGCAGGTGCTAAGTGACTGTTTGGTGAGTGAATCTATGTTAATGCAAGTCAGATGGAGGGGGTATTCTTCAGATGTTTCAGTGTCCTGTGGTTTCTGTGATGGCTTCTTGTTTTCCCCTAAGAGTAATGGTGAACTGGTGGTTGCTGATACTTTTACACAGGCAATCGTGGGGGAATCTGGACAAGCAAATAGAGCAACCATTAAAAAGAAAACATTGGGCCCAAAATGGCACCTTGGGGCAGACTAAGTCCCTAAACCTTGCTTAATCCCTAACCTCTCCCCGAAATTTTCACCAGTCAGTTAGGAATTCTCTGGTCAGCACCAGTGAGGTACTCTGTCACATGGGCCCTCTCCACCCCCAAGGTGGGGAGATCATCTGCATAGTAAGACCCCCTGCTCTCCTTATTAAGGGAAGGTGACCTTCCCTGAAACACTCCTTTCTCTTCTTTGCCAACTTCCTTGCTACGAAATCTTCCCATTGCGACCCTCCTTATAGCTCCCCTCTACCTGCCAGATGGGATGCAGTCTGATTCTTGAATCACTTAATAAAACCAATTAGATCTTCAAATTTACCTTGTTGATTTTGTTTTTTAACATAAACAGTGAGAAGTCAGAGATGTGAAGGAGCTGGGGTGTGAGTGAGATGGGGAAGGAAATACACGGGGGGTGTCACAAGGGCAGGAGGGACAGAGTGGCAGCAGGTTCCAGGGCTGGGTGCTGGGGATCCTCGTGTTTTCATGGGTTTATGTCCGGATGAGAAGAAAAGGTAGGAGAGGTAGGGTCAGTTTCCATGCTACACAGGACTCGTTGTGTAGCATTTAAACTAGGGGATGTGGAGCAAGATGGAAGCTGATGACGGTGAGAAGCTGGAAGCCAGAAGGAGAGTCAGACCAGGGGGGGAGGTGAGAGTCTGAGTAGGTGTTCAGGGTTGAGGGAGGAGCACATTTGCATTGTCGCAGAGACTCAGGGAAGGCTGGTGTGTGGAGAAGGAAGTCAGAAGAGAGGGACTGTGTGTGGGGTAGGTTTGCTAGAAAATAGGTCAAAGACCGACTTTGTAAGAGAAAGAAAGAACATCTGCAAGTACAATGCTGTTCCTGCAACTTGTGTTGCTGGTGGTTCTCCTCCCAGGTGGTGACAGTGAAGATGGTGAGAACTCCGGCCCTGCCCAGAGGGTACACAGTGTGGTTTGTGTGTGTGTGTGTGTGTGTGTGTGTGTATCTGTTTATGTGTCTGTGTCTGTTTATGTGTGTCTGTGTGTTTCTGCCAGTCTGTGTGTGTTTGTGTAAGTCTGTGTGTTTGTGATGTGTGTACATGGGCTAGTGTGCATTTGAATATGTGTATATGTATGTGTGTAGAGGTGCCTTGTGCATCTCTGTGCATGTGCATGTGTGTATGTGTGTGGGTATGTGTCTGCATGTCTGTGTGTGTATATGTGCACATCTCTGTGTGTGTCTGTATGTGTGTATTTGTGTCTCTGTGTGTGTGCACTCATGGTCTGAGTTCCCCAATGCATAACTGTGGAGGGAGAGTGCCAGCCTGGTTCCTTCCTGAGCATCCCCGACCCCAGGGCCCTGTGCTCTTCTGAAGGTTGGATATGAAGCTGGGGGATCTGTCTCCCGAGACCACTATGGCCTCTCTGGCCTCCAGATGTCGGCTCTCCACCCTCTCACCTTCTTCTCCAATCTCTCTCCTTCCCGTTCAATGTTTATCTGTCCTTTTTCCACAGCCTTCCAGGAGCCAATCTCCTTCCGAATCCTCCTGACCACATCTTTTTGCAACCGTTCCTGGACACAAAATCAAGGCTCAGCTTGGTTGGATGAGCTGCAGACTCATGGCTGGGACAATAAGACTGGTGCTTTCATTTTTCTGCAGCCTTGGTCTAAAGGCAACTTCAGCAACGAGGAGCTGGTGGAAGTAGAAAAGTTATTCTACAAATACTCCATTAGGTCTCCTTCAGTATATCATAACCATGTCAGTGAATGGCAGCTTGAATGTGAGTTCATTTCCCTCTGGGTTGGGTTGCAGGTGGCAGGTATGTGTGTGTCTCATTGAGTTCCCTCTTTAGGAAACGAACTGCACTGTCTTCTGAACCTCACCTCTCTCTATCTGGAAATTGAATCACACCCATCTGGGCAGGGGGTAGAAGCCAGACTGTGATTCTTGAAAAGCTTCATGTTTTCTTTAGCTTCCCCCTCCTCTCATTGACCACAGGCTCTGCTCTCCTGTCTCCCCCTAGGGTCTCCCATGACCACCCCTTTCTCTGGCCTCCAACCAGGTATCCTTGCTCCCTCACTTGTCACTTACTTTGAACTGTGCTTTCTCCCCATTCAATCCCAGCAGCGATGTCTATTTGTACCCCATTGCACTCCCTTCACCCTAGATTGTTTTTACCTCAGCTCTCCTGCTGAGTCGTCCCCTATTCTCTGCCCAAACCTTTCATGTCTCTCTTCCAACATTCGCTGCCTCCTCAATCATTCGCCTTTGCCTCTGCCTGCTGCAACCACCTCTTCCCCTTTGTCTGAACCTCCCCTCAAGTCAAACTTTGCTCCATTCCCTCCAATCCCCAAATTTACCCTTCTACATCCAGCATCCTTGGCTTGCACTCATCTCATTTCATCTCCTTCATTCCCTCTGTATTGTAACTCACAGTCTCTCTTCCCCAGATCCCTTCCAGGTACAGCTGGTGTTAGGCTGTGATTCCCACTTTGGAGAAGCATCAGTAGGCTTCATGCGGATTGCTTATCAAGGTTCAGATCTCGTGAGTTTCCAGAACACATCATGGTGGCCATCTCCAAAGGGAGGAAGTAGGGCTCGGCAGGTCTGCACAGTATTCAATCAGTACCATGTTTTCAATGAAATAGCACACAAACTCCTCAGCGACTCCTGCCCCCGGTTCCTGTTGGGTCTTCTTGATGCAGGGAAGGCATATCTCCAGCGACAAGGTAAATCCTGCTCCCTCCTCTATGAATTCTCTACTCTGCCCTCATACATTTGTACTATTCTTTCAAATTCAGGGTAAGAAAGAGTCAAGAGGGAGAGGGGATGATGGTGATGGGTCTAGAGGTAGAAAGATATCTGTCTAAAGTGATGTGAAGATCTACCCTCTCAGTCTGTGAATTCCTGCCCTGTCTCTGCAGTGAGGCCAGAGGCCTGGCTGTCCACTGGCCCCAGTCCCGGTCCCGGCCGTCTGCTGCTGGTGTGCCACGTCTCGGGCTTCTACCCAAAGCCTGTGTGGGTGATGTGGATGTGGGGTGAGCGGGAGCAACGGGGCACCCAGCGAGGTGATCTCCTGCCTCATGCTGATGGGACATGGTATCTTCAGATGTCCTTGGATGTGAAATCCAGGGAGGCAGCTGGCCTGTCGTGCCGGGTGAGACACAGCAGTCTAGGAGGCCAGGACATGGTCCTCTACTGGGGTGAGAAAGACTGGGGTCCAGCTGGGAAAGGGGGTGGGTGGTTCTCCAGCAGAGCAGGATAGCCAGATGAAAAATTTGGGTGGTTAGACCAAAAGTGACTAAAAAAAATTGGTAATCCAAGAAATGGAGGAACTGAGAGTCAAGTCTCGCAAATATGGGAGGATGCATCGGATTGGGTGAAGGGTCCATCTCTGAGGAGGGTTGGGAGAAGTGAAAAGAGGAAGGGTGGTTGGTGAGGCAGAGGTTGACAAGAGCGAGGAAGACAGGGAGGTGCAGTTCAACCCAGGGTCGATGGGAAATGACACCTTCTGTGCACCAAACCCACAGAGCAGTCCCACTCCATGGGCTTGGTCTTCCTGGTGGTGACAGTGCCCCTGGTACTTCTGGCAGGTCTGGCATTGTGGCTCTGGAAGCGCTGGTATGTCTTTGGAGCCACCTCCCTGTTCTTTCCCCTGTGTCTTCCTACCTTTCAGTCTGTCTTCAGCCCTCCTGCTTACAGTGGTCTTCCCCCTGCTGTTCTCACCTCCACCTGCTGCAGAGTGACTCTTCCTCTGTTTCTCCCAGGAAAACACACCAGATACCTCAGTGTACTGACCTCTCTTCTGAGCGAGATCCCAGCAGCCCAGGCTCCAGTACTTACCTAAATCCAGCTCAATGGTGACGTCCTTGCAACTCTCTGTGTGTAATTTTGTCTTTCATTTTTGCTTAAGGATCGGTTGGCAATATAAGCTCAGTGTAATTTTGGGTGATTTCTTGTTCTGACTTGGTTCTGGAACTTAAGTGTCAAAATTTAACTTGGTGTAAAATGATGTCCCAGCACCTACATGGGTCACAGGCATCAGATGTCACTTCCTCCGGTCAGCCCTCCTTTATTCAGAAGTGGAAGCAGTCTGTCTGGTGAGAACTTCCACCACATTTTCGGGCACTTTGACAGTTCTGTTCCTGACCCCTGGTGCTTGTTTTCCCCAGTCAGGACCCTCATCCCTTCTAATTCTTAGGATTCTTGAGAGAAAAGTCCATGTTTTCTTAATATTTGTATACTTGGCAAGGTGTCTCACCTGCATGGAAAATGTCCTCAATAAAAATCTGTGTTGAATTTATGCTAAATACATAGGTTTTTCTTCTTCTTTTTCTTCCTGACATGTTTGTAGCAGTTGAGATGTTTGATGCTCTTCTTGTTAAAAGTCTTGTCACCTAGCCAAGGGAGTTCACAGTTTCCCTGTTCCTGTTGACATCTCCAGGCCTCTAAGTAGAAACAAGTTGTTTTGTGAAGATCTGTATTATTTAACTACACAAACCTATTGGATGGATCTGTTGTTCCAAGTATTCTGAATTAAATAGAAAGGCAGGACTCAGCCTTCTTGATGTTTGTTGGACTTAGAGCAGCAGCAGAGCTGTCACCCTGAGGCTTTTTAAAAAAAATATAAGGTCTTGTCCTCAGCTGACTTCCTGAATCACAATTTGCATTTTACCAAAATTAGCAGGGAGATTCACAGGTGCATAAATGTGATGCCTGAGAGGTAGCAGTGCCTGTGTGTCCCTGAAGGGAAAAGAGATGCTCCAGGAAAAAGAACAGGAGTGTTTTGGTCAAGAATGAGTCCGGGGATCCAGCAAGGACCATGCATACAGTGCCTCCTGGCATTCGTGGCTGCTGTGTTACCATCCCAAGGACATGGAGTCAGGGACAGTGAGCCACTGTCCCTGGGGGAGATGTGGGGTACAGGTTCTGGGAGCCTCTGTTCACAACACTTGCCACCTGATGACTACCCAGCCTTGTTTCATGTGTATTCCTGTTTAAAGACAGCTTCTTGGGATGCATGGGTGGTTCAGTTGGTTAAGTGTCTGCCTTTGGCTCAGGTCATGATCCTCTCTTTTTCTCCTTCTCTCATTTTCCCTCTCCCTCTGCCCCTCCCCCTGTTTGTGCTCTGTCTCTCTCTTTCTCCCTCTCTCTCAAATAAATAAATAAAATATTAAAAAATAAAGATAGCTTCTTTAATACATATGTATTTGTAAATAATTTATTGTATGGAGTATTTCCCCACACTTAAACACCAGCTCAGAAGTGTGCAACATTTCCCAGCTCGGGTACTGTGATCGCCCGGGTCTTTGGCTTTCAGCCCCACAGCTGTGCTGCCCAAGATGGTTTTAGAGACTAGGAAACAGTCATCATCTCATGAATCCAAGAACAAAGCTCCTTTTCCCCTTTTTCTTGGTGTCATCATGCCGTCATCATAGCCTCCTAGATGTTACTTTAGCACTCGCTGGTGTGGCTCCACATTGATGTCATGAATATCCTGTTCCTTTTCTGGATTTACTGCACTGTTGACTCATTACCACTGAACTCAGGGCCCACAGCTCTGCATCAGGAGCCTGAGCGAGCCTCACTTACACAGGTGTTTTGTCATGAGGCACATCCCACCTTCTTCTGCTTAGGACACCAGTTAACCCTGCAGCTCTGGGCTTCAGGGCCATTTTAAACACTGAAATCACCAAGAAAGACCACAGAAGTGCAGAAAATATGGCACCAAATGGACCATGAATAGGACACATGTTTACAGTGTGGGAATTAACACAGGAAGGCAGAAGGGCACTTGGTTCAACCTTGGCTTGGGACACCTGTGGTGGTTGACTCTTGTCAGGCCACTCTACGTGTCCATGAATAGTGGTGAGGGCCTGTGTCTGGGGGTTACAAATCAATGTCAGCAGGTAGGCCAATCAATACAGACAGACTCCGAGAATAATGAAGATGGACCTTTTGTGACTGATGACCCCCGTGGCAGTGTGAGTGGAGACATCCATAGCTAGACCTCAGTTACTCTCAGTTTCATTAATTAACTCAACAAACCATTCTCAAACACTGATTATGCAGCAGGGACATTCTGACTGTCAAGTAGTGGGGAGGAAAATGTCTTCCCTGTCTTCAGAGCTTGAAAATTTTACTTTCTGATTTGATTGTGGTTTTCATTGCTCTTTCTAGCCAGTTTGTTAGTCAGCAACTTATGTGGGTTGAACTAGGGGACAGGGGGTTAGTTCTATTTTTTTTTTTTAGGGCTGAAAGTGGGGCCCAAGACTGAAAAATGTCCAGAGGGACCATGTGCAGGTCCCAGCCCTACACATGTGGATGCTTCTGGAAAATAACGTTGAGATGGGAGAGGTGGCAAAGGTGAAAATATGGGAAAGGGGAGAGCAAATCATGGGGACTTCTGCAATATCCCCACCTGAATCAGACTGCTTGGCTGTTTCTCTAACTCCCAGTCCACCTTGTCACCCTCTCATGGCCACCATGTGGATTTTGGTTGGTTGACTCCACCCTCATGTGTAACCTTGGGTTCTGATCAGCCTGAGGCCATCAGGAAAAAGCATATTTGTCAATGTGACATGTTGAGGGATGGACAGGTAATCTGCAGGTCAGGCCAATCATCAGACAGATGCCATTTGTATCACCCAGAGTGATGGTTCAAGGCCAGGAACCTACTCCAGGTACACACAGCCTGATTCTTATGGAGGATGGAGGGAAAAGAAATGTGCTCTCTTGTTCTGGATGATAAGGTCAGGTTTGAAGCCTGAAAGAAGTACAATCAGTTTTCAGCATCAGAGAGGCAAGCTGAGGATGAAGCCTGCATGTAAGAAGGCAGAGAAATTGTATACATGAAATTTGCCAAGAGGGTAGATCCCAAGTGTTCTCACCTGAAGAAAGAAAAACAAAAGAAAAGAAAAAGAAGAGTTCTGGATGTGAGGTGGTGGCTGAGTTAACTGGCCTGGTTGTGGGCATCACGTCACCATGTACACATACACCAAACTTCTAATGGTTACTTCACTTTATGTTTTTAAAAGAAAATGTCAATTAAAGTATTCCAAGATGTGATGAATGCTACATAAAATATTAATTTTCATGATTTGCTTAAAATCAAGTTTCTTGACCAGTTCCGCATTTTCCTTCTGAAATGCTGCATACCCTCACTGGAGGCACTGCAGGTAAGGACATGACCATTCAGGTGCAGTTCCGTGCATGCTCCATGTGCACCAGGCTCCCGTGGTTCTTCAGGCCGTCCTCTCTGAGAAGTTGTTGGAAGACTTTCCTCAGAAGGACTTTCGTTCATGTTACATCACAGGCTCTGCTGCACCTGTTAGAGCCCTCGAGGGTCCACATGGCCTGTGGTGCCCCCCAACCTTCTTCCCTGGGAGGCTGGAAGGCGGCACACTATCTATAGGTCCAATGTTCATTTGTCACCATACTCCAGTGATGCCGAAAACAGCAGCAATAACAAAACCAAAGCATCAAATAAGTGAAGGCAGACACACAGACTCACAGAAGGTGCTGGAGCCCCAATCACTCTGGGCTCCCCAGTTCCATCAGCCAATACATTCCCCACATGGTTTCAGCTCTACATGGTGGACTTCTATCCTTAGTGACTGGAAGCTCCCCTCTGATGGACGTGGACGTGGCCTCAGGGGGACACTGGGCTAATGTCTCTCTTCCTTGCAACGTTCCTCCTCACTTCCCTCTTTCTTTCCCTGGATTCTTGAAAATATTCCTCTATTCCTTTCTTGTCTGTTTGCTTTTTTCTTCACGTGTCCTCATATTGTGACACTCTTACCCTGTCTTGCATGTTAACCCTGCCATCTGGATCAATCCCTGTCCTGGGTGTTTTCATGGATTTCTAACAAACCACTGGCCAGGAATTGAGGTGCTGGGTCTGCTGCTGATTAGTGACTGGCAGAAATTCATCCTCCAGGGTTTTCATAGAGACCAAAGCACAAGCTGCACCAGCACATGATAACTCGGGAAGTGCTGTGGTAATGACAGTTAAATATTCAACATGCAAGAAATTTTCTGTAGATTTCTTCCTGACACAATATGTCCATTCATTCTTTCATTTCATCATGTATTCAGCTTTTCCTATTTTTATGGTAAATATATTCTCTGTGAGTGGTTCCACTGTGTATGAGACGCAGCTCTGTGTCCAGATATTTAAGATACAATGAATCTCTTCCTCCAAGCTTGTTCCTTTTTTGATGTTTACATTTAATCACCCAGAGGCTAACTTCAGAAATCTTTGTAGGTTTTCCATCCCAGCTTTTTTGTTTTTGCCAAGTTATTCTCTACAAAATCTCTGAAAACTTTCTTCCCTTCCCTATGGTGGGCCTCATGAACATCCATATGGGGTGTGGACAGAGCTTTCCTCTCTCCCTGAAAGCATTCCTGTTGGTTTCCTAAACAGAGGCTCTACCTCAGCCACGGTGGGCTCGCATTTAAGGGATGGAAGTGTCCATTGGGAGAACCTCCTCTTGGAAAGTTCTAGACTTATAGTCTAGTGGCCAGTTTGTGATTGGACACAGGAGAAAGGAGAAATGAGAACTTTCTGGATCTGGCAGTTGGAAGGAGGGGCAGTCTTCTCTGAATCCATGGGCTGACAGGGAGCAGGTGAGAGAGTGATGGCGGCCACTCCCACTCTGCAGACGTGGCAGCTTCTGGGCGTTGTGCCCCCACTCTGCATCCCTCTCCTGACTGCTGGACATAAAAGTAATGTGATCAAGTTGAAAGGTGAGATATTTTAAAATGTGAAGTTAGGTTGAATAGTAAAAGTGTGTTAAGTTAGTATGTGATGTTTTCCTAATTTATTCATTAGATCCTAATTTTGTTCTAAACTTGTTAATGGCATGTAAGAGCCATTTTTTTTTTATTATGTTATGTTAGTCACCATACAATACATCATTAGTTTTTGATGTGGTGATCCACCATCCATTGTTTTCGTATAGCACCCAGTGCTCCATGCAGTACGTGCCCTCCTTAAGCCATTTTTTTTTTTTTTTAGGACATTCAGACATATGACTAGATGGCTACAGTCAGCTTTGTACGTGAGAGAAGAGTTAACTCATCATTACATGATCACATTTATGAATCTTTATGTTTACTATTGTAATAATTTCATTATGAATCCTTTAAGTTTTAATTATTTTAATTGTTTGTGGTCACCTTAAAAAAATCATTTTCTTATTCTCACATGAGAGTAAGTTTACTTGGCCAAGTCCGGAGCAAGCTGCAAGTGTCCAGGGAATTTCTCTGTTCTAGAGAGATTACAAATGAACTTGAGAGCAAGGATGAG